ATCTTTGGCTCTTTGTCTGGACACCAGCACACCCACCATACCAAGCCACATTGAGCTGAGCCAAGCCCCAAGAGCCCCTGTACAGGGTTAGCAGGGAAATTATATCTTTTACAGACAATGGTGATTCAGAGCCAAGTAAGAACTTAAACAGGTTATATAACAAGTGGAAGTGTGTGTCTGCAGGCCTGAATATCCATCTCAGCCTATTCCTTGACCAAAGCACATTCATATAACTTACAACCCAAATAACCTGTATGTGTACCCTTAATTATAAAAGCCTAAATTATAAAAGTTTGATAACTCCAATTTATTTTGGCATTAAGGTGAGATGGAGTTTAATTATCTTTCTCGTAGGGTGATGGCTAACTGTAGGCATCAACTTAATAGGAGACGTGTATGCAGCTTGTTGCTAAAGCATTTTTCTGATATGTCAGATTAGTTCTAGATAGGATTAGCATGTGACTCAGTGGACTGAGTGGAGAAGATCAGCCCTTAATGTGGACAGGCTCCGTCCAGTCACCTGAGGGCCCAAATGGAATAAAATCGGGAAAGGTGAGTATTTGCTCCCTCTCCTGAAGCTAAGACACTCTTCTCTTACCCTTGGAAATCAGAAGTCCAGATTATCAGCCCTTGGACTGTGAGACGTGGTGAGAATTTTACCAGTGCCCCCACCTCCCCCACTTCCTTCCATCCCTGGAGCCCCCAGGATTTCAGGCCTTTAGACTGCAGATGATATCATTGGCTTCCCTGATTCTAAAGCTTTTGGGCTTGGTCTGAGCCATGCTGCTAACTTTCCTGGTTCTCCAGATTGTAGGTAGCCTATTGTGGGACTTCTCGGTCTCCCTACTCATGATTTTCCTAGGAAGCAGACTTCAATGAAATTTAGCGTGTAAAAATATTCAGGAAACACCTCTCAAATAAGTATCTGGAGAGGTGGGTCAGGAAACAATCCTAGGTAGGAGAAGCCATTCTTTTACGGAAAAAAGCAACAATAATTCAAATAATCCCATGGGATCTGCAGAGAGAAAATGCTGTTTTAGATACAGTGTTACCAGCAGAGGGTATTGACTATGAGTTGTTTAGGTTCTTGACATTTTGAACAAAGAATTGGACAAAATAGACAAAGCAATGAAAGAATGAAGCAATGAAAACATATTCAAACAAAGGTAAACTCCACATACTGGGAGGAAGCTTGAGTGAGTGGTTCGAGTGTGAGTTAAAGAATTTTCTCATATTTAAACGCTCCAGATTTTTTTACTGGTTAGTTACATCCTATGTAAATTAGTAGTGGCCTGCAACCAGTCCAACTGGTTGCAAAACTGACGCTGAAGTGAAGTTACAGTTATACCGCTATGCAAATGAGACTAGGCTGGTGACCAGTCTGATTGGTTGCAGGAGGGGACCAATCAGAGGTGCTTTCCATTTTTCATCTGCAATGCAGTAGAAAGCATGGGGTTTGCAAAGGGAGTAGCTGCTGATCTTTTTGTTACTTGCCTGTGGAGAGGCAGGGCTTTCCTTTTGATTCAGTTCTAAGAAGTCGGTATGAATCAGTCTTATGCTCCCTGCCTCCCAACCTTATTCTCCTGCCTCAATAGAATAAGGTGGCCCAACTTATATACTCTCCCAGGAATGGGTAGAATATGTTTTGGTAAGAATGAAGGAGCTCACATGTACTTAGTTCTTAGGGGACCTCAGTGCTTGGCCTCTATATAGAGGGCTGATGCCAGGTCACAAAATTACTCAGTATGTATTTATCTCAACTCCAGGACTCTAGGCCAGGATACATCTATGAGGATTTATGATCCTTGAAGGAAACTTACTGTGCCATGAATACATTTCATAGTTCTGATTGTAGGGAGAGGGTCATTGACCAACAGCCTGAGCCTCTGGCTCTGAGACCAATCTCTATTTGTGCTGAGATTATTCTTTCCCTGGGCTGCTCCTGGCTGATCACTGGGAAGTAGGGGGATTCTGAGATGCAAGTCCTGGAGTTAAAGGATTCCTCTGATGTGTGACCTTGGCAAGAATCCTGCTATGGTCTTGTTGATCTTTCCTTAGACCTGCATTGCGGTAGTGGCCTTGAGAAAACAGGACTCGCAGACCTCTAACTAAGGAGAGTGTAAGTGACTAAGGCCCTTAGATGCTGAGCCCTGAAATCTACCACAGCACTTAATCTAAAAGACATGGTTCACAGAAGCTGCTCCCAGATGAGCTCAGCAGAGTCACCAGCACAGACTTCATCTTAAAAGATGGAGACTCCTCTGATAGTGTGCGTGCTAATAAAGGTTTAGCAAGGCTGCCAGGGAGCCCTCTGCAAAGTTAACTATCTAGGTTCCTTCACCCAACCTACCTTCCCTGTCTCCCTGGCTTGGTGTCAGGCTTACATGCAGTCTGAACACTCTCCTAGTCTGTTCCAGCCTCCCTCTTTTTACATGGGTAAAATAACAATTCTTCTGTGTTTAAGTATAACATGTACATCTTGTTCCTGAAGGCCCTAGACAAACATGACTCAGTCTGAGATGCTTCTACTTGATCTGCCTTCACTCTCTTGAAAAACCAATAGTAGATACACAAAGTATAAAAAGTAAAGCATATCACTAAAATATAAAAAGCATACCACTAAAAAAAATCACAAGATGACAAAAAGGAAGAAATCTAGAAAAGAACAAGAAGACAACTAACAAAATGGCAGCAAGTCCTTACATACCAATAATTACCTGCAATATAAATGGATTCAAGTCTAAAAAGACAGTGGTTACATGCGTTAAAAATAAGACCCAACAATATGCCACCTGTAAGATTCATTTGTCCTGTAAGGAGACACAGACAAAGTGAAAGATGGAAAAGGATATTCCATGCTAATAGAAATGAGAGCACAGGTAGGTATCAGACAAAATGATCAAGTCAGAAAATATAAAAAGGAAAATTTATGTAATAAAGTGGTCAGGTTATAAATATGCACTCAACATCAGAGCACTTAAATACAAAGTTAATAGATCTAAACACATACAGTTAATACACTAATGGGATTTCAAAACTCACTTTCCACAATAGATATATCATCCAGATGAAGAAGTAAGGAAATATCAGACTTTACCTTAATAACTACACTTTAGACCAAATGGACCTAACAGACATATATAACACTTCATTAGCAGAAGAATGCACACTTTGAGTGCACACAGAAGGTTCTCCATGATCACAAGTTAGGCAATAAAATAAGTCTTAGCATATTTAAGAAAACTGAAATCAAGGCTCTTCTGACCACAATGGCATAAAACTAGAAATCAATAATAGGAATTTTCAAAAATTAAAACATGGAAATTAAACATGCTGCTGAATAACCAATAGATCAATGAAGAAATTAAAAGGGAAATCTTACAGTATTATGGGATCAATTTTAAGAGGGAAGTTTATAGTAATAAATGCCTAGATCCAAAAAGATCTTGAATAATGTTTCACCTCAAGGAACTAGAAAGACAAAAGTTAGCAGGAGGAAATAATCAGAAACAGAAAATAGAGAAACAGAAATAATCAGAAACAGAAAATAGAGAAATCAATGAAAATAAGACTTGGTTCTTTTTTTAAAAGATTAAAATTGGCAAACCTCAACTAAAGAAGAGGCACTACAATTGATACCACAGAAATAAGAAGAATCACAGAAATAAGAACAGTTATACTTCAATAAATTATATAACCCAGGGGAAAAATTCTCATGGACACAACCTATCAAGATTGAATTGTAAAGAAATAGAAACTTTGAACAGCCCGAACAGCCAATAGTGAGTGAGGAGACTGAATCAGTAAGAGTCTCCAAAGAAAAGCCTAGGACTAGATGGCTTCACTGCTGAATTCCAACCAATATTTGAAGAACTAATAACAATAGTATTCTCGAAATATTCAGGAAAATATTAAAGAGGAAATACTTCGAAATTTCATGAGACTAGCATTACCCTGATACCAAGGCAAATGACAGTGCTACGAGAAAGTTATAGTCCAATATCACAGATGAACATAGATGCAAATATTGTCAACAAAATACTAGCAAACCAAATATAACATTAGAAAGAATCATTTACCATGGTCTGGTGGGATTTATCCCAATTCTTACGGTTCTGGAGGCTGGAAGCTTGGTCATTTTTCTAGCATGCTCAGGTTCTGGTGAGGCCCTATTCAGGGTTGCAGATAGCTGACTTCCTGTCATAGACTCACATGGCGGACGAAGCAAGCTTTCATATCTCTCATAAGAGCACTAATCCTATTCGTGACAGTCTGACATGTTAGAGGATAGAGTTTCAACATGTGGGGAAGGGGCCCAAACAATTAGTCCAAAACAGTATTCATTCAGTAAGAGAAATTTCATTCCCAACTGTTGGGATTGAAGAAAGGATACGATGTAAATATGATGAAAACTCCTGACTCTCCTACAGCAGTTCTGCTTTGTAAGGTAGCCACCTAATGGACAGAAGAAACCCAGCAGGGCCTCAGTAAAAACTACAACATTATCTTCTAGGTTTTGGATTCAGCTATGACACCCCAGTTAAATGAGTCACACTTACATGACTTTTTTTCTTTAAGCCAGTTTTAATTTGGTTTTACCTCCCAGGCATCTGGAGGAACCCAAAAAAATGCACTCATTTTTTTCTAGCTTTATTGTTGGAAAACCTTTTTCCATATAAAGAATACCACACATTCATATGGATTATAAAGAGTTGTGAAATACACATCAAAGGCATATACACTGTTAAATGAAACCAGGTTCTCAAACTTGTTAAGCCAACTCATTTAGCAATGTGGAAGTGGTTAAATCAGTTTCCCACAGAAATATTTAATAGCACCAGAATCGTACAATACGAGTTGTTTAATAACCAGATATAAAGTGCCCTATAAGGTGGTGTAGGGGGAAGCATATAACCCTCATCAAAGTAGTGGTCTTGGTCTCTTTTCTGTCTATAAAACAATACATGAAGCTTGGTAACTTAGAAAAGCTTACTACTTACAGTTCTGGAGCCTCGGAAGTCCTGAGAGGCACAGCTGGTGAGGGGGCCATCTGCAGAGACCTGGGGTTGCGCTGGGCACTCCAGGTGAGGAGGCTGAGCTTGCGGGCTCAGGTCTTGCTTTCTCTTAAAAAGCCGCCAGTCCCACTCCCATGATAACCCATTAATCCATTAATCTGTGAATGGATTAATCCATTCACAAGGGCAGGGTCTTTATGACCCAATTGCCTGTTAAAAGCTCCACCTTCCAATACTGACACATTGGGAATTTCCATCATGAGTTCTGGATGGGACAAACACTCAAACCATAACAGTGGTCTCGCCAAATTTAAAGCCTGATTTGGATCAGGCCTCTAGATTTATGCCGAGTTTACAGGAAAAAGAAGATAGAGACACTCTGGTGTGAATGCTATTAGCTTCCTTCATCGATCCCATAAGCCTGCTGCTGAGAGCGCTGTCTGCCGAAGGTTACACCAGCCCCTTCCTCTAGGAAACAGCCTTTGGCCACAAATGAGCTCTCCGGCCCAAGAGGTAACCACGCCCACCCACTCGGGACAGCCCTTACTGATTGGCTGGCCTGCGGTACTGTGGGCTGCCCCTTGCTCAAAGGGAATTCAACATTGTGGTGCCAGAGCTCCCTCTGGCGTCAGGCTGGAGCTAATCAAGATGCCATCCTTGCTTGGCTATTTTTCCCCAGTCCTGCTTCCCTGCTGTTTGCCCTCTCCTGAAAGCACTTCCTCAATCCACCACTTTTACCAAAATCCACGTCTTGGGCTCTGATTTTAGGAAACCTGTTTCAAGACAACCTACTCAAAACGGAAATAGAGACGTGGATGTTACAGATTCAAAATGATTTAAGAGTCATAGCAAACAAATGTATTAATAAGAGGCTCTTCTCTGGATCCTGATTCCAATAAGCCAACCATAAAAGTGCCTTTATGAAATAATTGGAAACCTGAAGTGCCAATTTGATAATATGCAACATGCAATTATTGGTGTATTTTAGTTACATTGAGCTTTTTTTTTTTTTTTTTTTTTTTTAGACAAAGCCTTTGTTTCCCCAGGCTGGAGTGTACAGTGGCACGATCTCAGCTCACTGCAACCCCCGCCTCCTGGGTTCAAGTGATTCTCCTGCCTTGGCCTTGGCCTCCCAAGTAGCTGGGACTACAGGTGCCCACCACCACGCCCAGCTAATTTTTGTATTTTAAGTAGAGACAGGATTTTGCCATGTCGGCCTGGCTGGTCTTGGACTCCCAGCCTCCCAAAGTGCTGGGGTTACAGGTGTGAGCCACCACACCCAGCTGTATTGTGCTTTTTTTAAAGTTCTAGTTTTTAAGATACGTAATAGCAACTTCAGAGGTAGAATAGTATAATTCTGGAGTTTGCCTTAAAATAACCCAACAGTGGGATTGGGTGGTAAGTGAGAGCAGAAGTGAAACAAGATGAAAGACATACATTGATAATTGTTGGAGCCAATGATGGATACTTGGGGGTTATGCCATTCTATCTGCTACTTTACATATAATTTTTAAAACTTTATTACAGAATTTTTTGTGCTGTTTTGATAATGAGTGGTGACCTTCCTGACAAATTAGCTGCAGCTGTTGTTAAAGAAGTTCTTAAGGCTCACTATTTCCCCTAAGAAAGAAGCTGGGAATTTTTCTTGATCAGTTACAGGTTTAGAGTAGAAGGTCTATGGGATTATGGGGAATAAAGTCACCTAGAACGCATTTGATAACTGCTTTTTGTTGTGTCTCCATTATTTGCTGATGGGGCTGTCATCTATTAAATAGCTGAGAGAATTGCCCCATAGGCTTCAACGCTTGACAAGATCGTTTTAGCAGGTGTAAGAATACAGCACTGCATAAGATCTCAGGGGCATCACCTCAGCATACACCGCGGAGAAAGAAGCACCTGCTCCCAGATGCCATCAGCTTCTCTGCTCTGGGTTATTTCAAGCAGAAAGAAAGGAAAAGGCATTGCTATTGCAGTGTTTGGGGCCACACGCGATCCCACAGGTGCAGTCACATTCTTGCAGGTTTAAACAGTGTTCATGAAAGTATCTTTTCCCGAAAATACAGGGGGTAATGGCTAGTCGAAATTGACATTAGAACACAGCGACAACATTGCAATAAATTTTCCCCAGCAGTCTCTGAGTATCATGACATAAACATTAATAAAGGATTCTAGTCTGATATGGTTTGTCTCTATATCCCCACCCAAATCTCAGGTCGAATTATAATTCCCACGAGTCAGCAGAGGGGCCTGGTGGGAGGCGATTGGATCATATAGGTGAATTTTCCCTTGCTGTTCTCATGATAGTTCTCACAAGATCTGATGGTTGAAAAATGTGTGGCACTTCCCCCTCTGGTTCATGCGCTCTCTCCCCTGCCACCATGTGAAGAAGGCACTTGCTTACCCCTCCTCACCTTCCACCATGGTTGTAAGTTGCCCGAGGCCTCCCAGTCATGCTTCCTGTTAAGCCTGTAGAACTGTGAATCAATTAAATCTCTTTGTAAATTACCCAGTCTCAGGTACTACTTTATGGAAGTGTGAGAATGGACTGATGCGTAATCCCAACACTGGAACTTCAGAAAAAGTCATAATCCTATAATCAATAAATGTGGTGTTACCTTGTCAAATCTAACTTCACAAAATGATATTAAGAACATTGACTAATTTTTTCTTTTATTATGTCTCCTTGAAAATAGATCATTCCCAGGTTTAGGTATGCCTCCCAGCAAATAAATTCTGTTTTCAGAACAGCATTCACTATTTGAAACCATTCAAGTTATCAGGTTAATTTTTAGAGGACCTTAAAAACCCAACCTTTATTAGAAATTTACAAAAAATCCCAAGACTTTTTATCCAGGGGTGTGCTAGTAAATGGCAGCTCTCTTTTAAAAAGTTCTGATTTGTAGTGTTTTCTGGTTTTCAAGACATAAATTCTCCCACCACGGCCTATCTGAAGCTGCCAATGTGACATCGCTGAACACAAAGCTGGAAAGAGAATAATTAAAGAGAAAATAATTTTCCACATCAGCATTCTAGAATATGTTTTTCTTGAGTCCTTACGGTCACATTGTGCATACTTGCCACATGGTTCCCTTAACAGTATAACAGTCAAATACTGTTCTTGTATCTGGGATTTTACAGCTTATAACTTCTCCCACCGGCCACCTAACTCCACCAGGTCCTTCAATATTTTTATCACACAATTGCATACGATGATTCTGCCTCTGTCCTGTGCTGGCAGTCATATCTGTTTCTACCACATTTTCTGTACTGTTGGGTTCATGTGCCTCATGGCTCACTCCAACCTCTCCTCTGCTCTTAAAATGTATCAGTTAAGTTTATCAGCTTACCTTTTAGATGTAAATCTAGCATTATTTGCTGAATGCATCTTTTTTTTAATACTCCTTTGATTTTGCTTTAACTCATGTTAAGCCCCAAAAGAGAGAATCTGGAGTATGTTTGAAAAACAAATCAGAATACAGTGCCCCAAAGCATCTACTGTTCAAACAAACCCTACTCCCAGGTGGAGTACAATTACGAAGCCTAATTTTTTTTTCTCTGATTCAACAGGCTTCTGTTCTCTGGAGGTAATTAATCATCTTAATTGTTAACTTTACCTTGATATAATTGTGAATGCAACACACATACACACACAGATAGTCAGAAGTCAATGTTTATGGTACACTGATTTTAATAGTCTTAAGTGTTATGGATTTATAAGTTCACAAGAAACTAGAAAATCATACATAGAAGTAATGTGGACTATGAACATTATTTTTTAGAAGTACTATCCTAGAAATTCCCAGAAAACTAAACTATCTCACTATTCTATTAGTCTGAGTTAATTAGGCTTTTTTTGTGTGTATTTGTTCTTTAATTGTACTTTAAGTTCTGGGGAACATGTACAGATCTTGCAGGATTGTTGCATAGGCACACACATGCCATGGTGGTTTGCTGCCTCCATCCCCCCAACACCTACATCAGGCATTTCTCTCAGCGTTATGCTTCCCCAACCTCCCCACCCCCTGCTGTCCCTCCCCTAGCTCCCCACCCCCCAACAGATCCCAGTGTGTGACGTTCCCCTCCCTGTGTCCATGTGTTCTCATTGTTCATCACCCGCCTATGAGTGAGAACATGTAGTGTTTGGTTTTCTGTTCATGTGTCAGTTTGCTGAGAATGTGCGTTTCCAGATTCATCCATGTCCCTACAAAGGACATGAACACATCATTTTTTATTGCTGCATAGTATTCCATGATGTATATGTGCCACATTTTCTTTGTCCAGTCCATGATTGATGGGCATTTGGGTTGGTTCCAGGTCTTTGCTATTGTAAACAGTTCTGCAGTGAACATACGTGTACATGTGTCTTTATAATAGAACAATTTATAACCCTTTGGGTATATACTCAGCAATGGGATTGCTGGGTCAAATGGAATTTCTATTTCAAGATCCTTGAGGAATCACCACTCTGTCTTCCACAATGGTTAAACTAATTTACACTCCCACCAACAGTGCAAAAGTGTTCCTATTTCTCCACATCCTCTCCAGCATCTGTTGTCTCCAGATTTTTTAATGAGCACCATTCTAACTGGCGTGAGATGGTATCTCAATGTGGTTTTGATTTGTATTTCTCTGATGACCAGTGAGGAGCATTTTTTAATGTTTGTTGGCCTCATGTATGTCTTCTTTTGAAAAGTGTCTGTTCATATCCTTTGCCCACTTTTGAATGAGTTTGTTTTTTTTCCTCATAAATCTGTTTTAGTTCTTTGTAGATTCTGGATATTAGGCCTTTGTCAGATGGGCAGATTGCAAAAAAGAAATTCCCATTCTGTTGGTTTCCAGTTCACTCTGATGATTGTTTCTTTTGCAGCACAAAAACTCTTAAGTTCAATTAGATCCCATTTGTCTATTTTGGCTTTTGTTTCCATTGCTTTTAGTGTTTTAATCATAAAGCCCTTGCCTATGCCTTTGTCCTGAATGGTTTTGCGCCTAGGTTTACTTCTAGGGTTTTTATGATGTTAGGTCTTATTTTTAAATCTTTAATCCATTTGGAGTTAATTTCAGTGTAACGTGTAAGAAAGGGGTCCAGTTTCAACTTTTGCACATGGTTAGCCAGTTTTCCCAACACCATTTATTAAACAGGGAATCCTTTCCCCGTTGCTTGTTTTTGCCTGGTTTGTCAAAGATGAGATGGTTGTAGATGTGTGGCACTTCTTCTGAGGCCTTTGTTCTGTTCCATTGGTCTATGTCTCTGTTTTGCTACCAGTACCATGCTGTTTTGATTACTGTAACCCTGTAGTATAGTTTGAAGTCAGGTAGCATAATGCTTCCAGCTTAGTTCATTTTGCTTAGAATTGTCTTGGCTATGTGTGCTCTCTTTTGGTTCCATGTGAAGTTTAAAGTGATTTTTTCCAGTTCTGTGAAGAAGGTCAAATAAAGAGTATTCAGTTAAGAAAAGAGGAAGTCAAATTGTCTCTATTTGCTGATTGTATATTT